TTCCCGGAAGTAGGTATTAGGAATTGCTGAAATTTTAAAACGGCATTTTCTCATACCAGTTTTCATGTCATGTCGATGGAAAGTTTTTTGTTTTATTTGGGAAATATGGATACCTATACAAAATATTTTCAAAATTTTGAAGTAGGTAGCTATGTATAAGGGTAGATATACTTACTACAACTTCCAATAACATCAATTCCTTTGCAGAGTTAATTTTTTGCAGGAAAGCCATTCTTTTACCAATTGATGGTATCAGTTCTTTAATTAATGGCTCCGTTAACTCAAAGATGTTATTTATATTCAAGTCATTTTCTACAAAATTTATTAAGATATTAATAAAATTTCTTTGAAATAGATATTGGGTAATTTGAGGAAGGTAAAAAGAGTCAACAGAAGAAATGCAATTCATCAGTGACGTAGCTAGCACCTACCCACTCTATTCCATATATTGCTATTGCGCGTAGAAAAATTGAAAAAACCGAAACTTTCTGAAAAAATTAAATACAGTAGGTTACGTTATTACCAACATTATTTTTTGAAAAGCAATGAAAGCGCATCTATTTTTTATGGTAAACGCATAACAAAAACCGTTGCACCTACTTAAACCACTTCAATAACTGGCTGAATTTTTCCAATTTTAAATGGAAAATTCGGGTAAACCAGTTTTTCAGGTACAACGGGTTTTATTTGGCGTTTACTAGGTATAAATAAATATACAATTCCAAGTCCAAAGAAAAGCCAACTATTTATTGATTTTTTTTATAAATTTTATGCCTATTTATATGTACGCGTTTTTTTTCTCACTAATTCTCACCGGTGGATCCATCGATGAGCAGTCTATCTTTGTCTAGTTCACAGAAAATCGGAATGACTGTCTCAATGGTGGATACATCGATGAGAAAATAACGCGCCCTGTCTAGTATTTTTAATATCCATTTGGAGAATAACCCCATCCTTGTTTATCAATCATTAATCAGATGAAACAAAAAATTACCAACCATTCACAAATCACTAAAACGACTGGTAAACGGCTGCTATACTTCCAAAATCCAAATAGGTATTGAAAATACTCTAGAATATCTCGGTAATTTTTGTCAAAACAGGAAACTTATAGGTATTGCCTTAACGATTATTATCATAGCGTAAAGGGGAAACGGAAATTTTTCACATTTGAATTCGCGAACAAAAAAAATGTTAATAACTTACCTTTAAACGATTCTATGAGGTCTTCATAGCCCCATGCACTCAGTAACTCTTCCATTATTTCACAAATTCACCTAAACACTAAGCATTGGCAATAAATAGGTAATTCAAAATCCAAACTGGCGAAAATTGCAAGGCCAATTCCACGTGTACATACGCTCTAGACTCTGATTTCGTGCGTGCAGCCTGCAGGCGGCAGCGTGCAGCAAGTTAAAAGAAGGAGGTAGTAGTGGGGGATATAATGAAATTATGGTATTCTCAATTTGAAATTGTGCTCATCAATTTGAGAATATTATTTTTAATTTAAACTATCTCGTATTCGAAACAATATCAATATCGGATCAATTGAGAAAAATATTTATTTAAGATAAGACATCCCTAATTTCAATTTAATAGGTTATAATTTCGTATTTAAACAAATTTTAATTTCTCACCGATTTTTTAAAGTTTCTTCACTCAAAATACTAGAAGTGTTGAAATGAATAGATATTGTTTTGTATCACAGCAATGATTGTTTTAATATTGAATATTTTCAATTTCTCTATTTAAATTTGCAATAATATTTAATCGACTATACATATATTTATTTGAAATAAATAATTTGCTAAATATTACATTTCCAAATGAAAATTCACAGAGTATCAACTTAAGAATTAATAATCATTATGAGAATGTATAGTGTCCACTTAAGTCGATATAAGCAAGATTATATTTTTTCTTGTTCTGAGAAATAATTTTTATCTGTGCAATACTTTTAATCCATCTTCTTGAAGACTCGGTAGAAAATTCAAAATATTCATTTTGCTCTCTTAACTTTTGCCTTGTTGTTGCTAACGTTACATATTTATTTTTGGCGTACATTGTGAGGATTAAAACAGATATTAATCAAAGTAGACAGATTAAACTGTGATTCGCTTACCCTATAACCGGGCGTCGGAGTCGTCGGAAGGCGGCAGAGGCCTTGGCATTGGCCGCGCTAAGCAAAAGGGTGCGAAAACAAGCCTCCTTTGAATCTCGGTCACCACTTGCATATCAGTGCTCCCACACCGCGGACAGCACGCTCGCACCGATCGCGAAGCGGTAGGCACGTATCAAGGAAAGGTGTTTCAATTACATACATCCAAGTACAACCCCTACAGGAACGCGTACCCCTGTAGCGGATACCGGAGCTCATATTGAACTGAGAACCAATATGAACGGCGAAATATACGCTATGCAAAAAATATATATTTTATATTTTGGGTTAATTTGGTTGCTGACTCCACTTTTCGGATTTTGTTCAATGCACTATCGATATTGCCCAATACTGATGACCAGTTAATTACTCAATCAGGAATGAATAAGGCAATGAACTTTCGTCAATAAATTGAATTTTAAAATGCTACTGAAAATTTTACAACATAAAATGCTCCACTGTTAAAGTTCATAGCATCTCGTACGTTAGTACGGGATACGAGGTCTATTTCATCAAATCATTTTACACCGTCTTGCATTGTTATCATCAGTTAGATAACATGATGCTGAAACGCACTTGTGCAGGGAAATAGATGGGAGTGGGGAATTTCGCTGAAAAAAATATTTCAGAAAATGTCGTCATAAATAAGGAAAATATATAATTATACACCGTCTTGCATTTATTTATTCAGTTAATTTGTACACAAACAAAATTGGATTAACACATGCAAGACATTTTCATGGAGGTTTTGGGGTTGTTATATTAGATAGAAATTGTCAATTTTTCAGAGGGGTGAAATATCATTTCACACCACTTCATTGTTGATTTAGATTAAAGCTTGAATGTAGAAAAGCCACTGGCTACTGATGCAAGACCTCCTGTGGAGGGATAACGGGCTGCAAGACGGAGGTCAATGTGTTGTCTTATGAAGGAGTGAGAAATCATTTTACACCGTCTTGCACTGGTACTAATGGGAAAAACAGAACACATTGATAACATTTTTAAAAATACAAGACGTTCTAAATGGAAGGAAAAGACTGCAAGACGGTGATGAAGTTGACTAATTTTGACGGGGGTCAATCCATCAGGTACAAAGGTGAATACTACTCCAAGTTACAAATTACACACATTTATTTTAAATATTTTTGCTCTTTACCACATATAATAATTCTATTTTGCAAAATTCTCTTAATAATATGTATATTTTAACTCTACGGACACCAAATAAAAAAAGGTTGAAAATTGTTCTTTTTCTGACGACTTATATTAATTTTTTTTTTTTTTTTTGAGGTGAATATGCCATAAAACATAACGGATTGTAAGTATTAGGTAAATTTGAGAAATTTGATTTCAAAGCTGCGAAAAAATGACACAACAAAAATGATCTGTCTGGAATTGTAAACAGAAATTATAATTCCTGTATTCAGCAGACTCCCCTGTTGAGCTGCTATGTCAATTGTCCTTTTCCATCTGTATGATTTAGAAAAGAATGAACAGTGAACGGTTCAGTAAATAACTCAACAGTTCAGTTAAAAAAGAAAACGGATTTATTCACTTTTTTCCCCGAAAAAACGTCTTGGACTGATGTATTACCATTTCTTAACATATATTCTTCCGGCGGACATAAGCATGAAGTGGTGTAAAATAATTTTTCACTCTCTCATGAGACAACACATTGACATCCGTCTTGCAGCCCGTTATCCCTCAATAGGACGTCTTGTATCAGTATCCAGTAGCTATTCTACATTCAAGCTTTAATCTAAATCAACAATGGAGTGGTGTAAAATGATTTTTCACCCCTTTTACAAATTGACAATTTCCATCTTCTATTGCAACCCCAAAGCCCCCATGAAAACGTCTTGCATGTGTTAATCCGATTTTGTTTGTGTACAAATTAACTCAATAAATAAATGCAAGACGGTGTATAATTATATATTTTCCTCGTTTATGACGACATTTTCTGAAAAATTTTTTTCAGCGAAATCCCCCACTCCCATCTATTTCCCTGTACAAGTGCGTTTCAGTACCATGTTATCTAACTTATGATAACAATGCAAGACGGTGTAAAATGATTTGATGAAATAGGCCTCGTATCCCGTACTAGTATTTCGACAAATTTTCCCCATTTGCAGGAATATCCGAATTTTGAAATTCGAAATATAATATCTCCTGGGCCATGTCCCGCAATTTGCGTGCTAACCACGCCACGTGGAAATCTAGGTCTTCGTTAATCCTTGATGGTTTGTTGTTGATGGTATCGCACATCTTTAGAAATCTGGGAAATATGAATGCATCCTATTATGTATAAACTACTATACCTTTAAACTAATGACATTTTTCAAAAAATATCAATTAATAATATGTTTTACACAGCCCATGATATGAAATCTATTCCAAACACCCAAAATTTAAGACTTAGAGTTACCCCCATATGAATGCGAACTTTGGCCTAAATATGACAACGTGTATTTATCGGATGAAGAATTCATAATTTCAATGGTGTTCTCCGGTAGCATTTCTGCTACACGTTTTGGTAAAAATAATTCAAAAGTATCATCTTCTATTTTGTCATACAATGTGGCGAGAATAGTTTTATCAAACCGTGTAACCATCGGCACAAGTTTTCTAATTATGTAAACTTCAACCACCTTCAATGATGAAATTTTTCTTTCGAGAAAATTAACATCTTTGTTAAGCATATTAATAATTTCAGCCAAGTTATCTTTCGAAAGACTCATAATTTAAGAAAAATGTAATAAATATTACGGTACCTTGAATACACACCTTTAGAATAATTCACAAACACCATATTTCTTTTAAACTTTGAGGGCGGTAGATCGTACTTCAAACGATATCTGTGTGACTATGATACCTTTTTCTCGAGTAACTGCATTTTCTGGAGGTTGCTTTTGTCATATTCTTATTTTGCTAGCTGCAATCAAATTATTGGCCTTCTTCTCAACAACCAACAAGTTTTTCATGCCCCCCCTTATTGTCTTTTCCAAATCAGCTATTTTCTTCACAATACTTTCTTTCTTTGCATCATATATTTCTATTTTATTTTCCAATTTAACTATTCGGCCATCAATGCTTATCAAACTGTCATGAGTAGCTTGATATATTTTGTTGATTGTTTGTGCTAGCTCTTTGCATGATTTATGAATCTCCTCCAACATATATTGTTTGGTAGTAGCGTCATCACTGGATTCCGGTATTGGAACATTCAATAAACGCTTTCCCACACTATTAAATTGACCATTCAATGTTTGCATAAATACCACCCCCGATACACCGCGTAAAATGGGAACTTATCTATTGTGTTGTTAACACACCCCATTTCGATGAAGAAATGAAGTTATTAACTCTTGTGTCGAGATTTATAAGTTTTTTTTTCATTATTTTCCATCCGTCGTTCTAAATTGCGTATTTTTTTATCGTTCTCTAGATCTTTGCTTATATTGCTGTTTTCAATATCATCCATTTTTTTTATCTGTGTTTTTAAATCTTTCTTTAATACGATTTTCCAATAATTCATCTAATGCATATTTCATTTGTTGATGAAATGTCCTAATTTTGTCAAGAACAAATTCTTGGGTGCTAACATCATTGTCTGCTATCGGTTTTGCAACATTTGATAAATGCTTTACTTCAATATCATAGTGACCATCGAAAGTTAACTTGAACCCATTTCCCTGTGCACCACGTAAGAACTGGTGTTTATGATATACTCTCTGATGACCAAATTTATCTATGGTGTTGTTAGCACGTCCCATTTTTGACTAGAACTAACCTTGTTTTCATCAAATGTTTGCTTATAATGGGAACTAAACAAAAGTGAGGGGTGAAAACAAAAATCAAAACAATATGCATATAAAGATTTATTTTATTACAATTTATTAGTTTTAATTATCTACAACATCTACTACTTTCGTCATCAGCAACATCACTGGGGATCAGCTTCCTGATGAACCAAACCATATTTCGTAACCAATTCCTGTGGCATGTGAGGAATTTCAACAAGGAAAAATTTAAGGTCTTCCTCAATCATTTCAGAGCAGAATTGGTCTAGGCCTATGGCACCATGCAGATATCGCCAACACATGATGGCTCCACTGTTAAATTTCATAGCATACTTGATGGTTTGTTGTTGATGGTATCGCACATCTTTAGAAGTCTGGGAAATCTGAATGCATTCTAATATGTATAAACTACTATACCTTACAACTAATCAAATTTTTCAAAAAATATCAATTAATAATATGTTTTACACGGCCAAGAATATAAAATCTATTCCAAACACCCAAAATTTAAAAGAGACTTAGAGTTACAACCATATGAATGTTAATTTTCAAAAATATCAATTAATAATATGTTTTACACAGTGTATGATCCTTAATAAAACACAACGGATGTTATTGGTTTGAACTTTATGTTGGATCTGAATAATGGTTACAATATGGTTTACATAGTTTGGTAATACTAATGACGTGAAATGGAGGTGACCTGATTATGATGTTATGATAATAATAATAATATGAATATACCTAGTGTTAATATTAAACTGCACTACATCTCCCTCTTCTGGAGGAATGGACTACATTTTTGTTAGCTAAAATGAAGTTCATTCTTCTGGGTTAGAAATGTTTTGCAATTTAATTAAGCCTTAAAAAATAAAATTTAAACTTGAATAAATTTGACACCAATAGCAAATAAAATAAATTAAAATAATTGTTATAGTATTTCGACTAATGTTATCATTTACTGAAATTTCGCAAGTAAGTAACCTATTAAAAATTAATTATACACATATACAATAAACTTATTCGATAATTTAATAGCTTAAGAGCTTTTGTTTACATACACACATTCATACCCTTCTATACCTATGTTATGCTATACGCGCGTTTATAGTTAGAGTTGCTGATCAGCATAATGTTAATTACATAAGATAATAAAATTTTAATATAATAAAGTCGTTGCATGGAGACATGCATTGTTTACACTTTCAAATGTTTGTCGGCTTATTTTTGGCCTAATAACCGAATAAAATGAGTACAAATTTAATTATTAAAAATTCGCAATCGGTTTTTATGTACCAAACTTTCTTTTCCATTATTGACATTTTTAATTTGACAGTTAACTCCGTCACAATTAACGACCGAATATGGACCTTTATACCACGGCTCAATTTTAGATCGGCTTTCATTAGTTAGTACGACTAAATCTCCTGGCTTTAACATCAATTCTCTGGCCTGCTGATCGTAAACTGATTTACGCTTTTGTTTGACCTGAGAAATAAACTCTGCGGCCCGTTTATTGGACACTTGCAGCCTATATCTTATTTCTTGATAATACGCATCGATATTGTAAATAGGGTCTATAGTGGAACTTGAAAGTACTTCGCATATCTCTGGTTTTCTCGCAAATACTAGTTCAAATGGGGTATAGTTGTGATATGCACTCGGTGTTGTATTATAGGCATTTGCAGCTAAGCGATACGCTACCTACCGGAATATTTGCGAAGCTTCGCATGAGATATAAACAAAGTTTGTTTACATATGATTAACGTGGCTTGCTCCTTTCGATTAATATAGATTTGTATTTTATATTGGTAATTGTCCAAATTTTCCTTGAAATGACAGCAAATTGTTGTGTGCCAATGTGTAATTCGTTGAAAAGAAGAAACCCGGAAATATCTTTTCATAAATTTCCTGCAGAATCAGAAATGATTAGGTTGAAAACCGAGTTTGGAGGTTATGAAACTGTTAACAGAGGTAAAGTTTGGATTAATAAACTAAAAATAGGAAAAAAAATAAGCCCATTTATGAGAGTATGTTCTCTTCATTTTGTTCCAAGCGACTTTTTCAGGGGTAAGATAAAATTTATCGCTCAAAATCAGTTTGTAGGTTAATTCGTCTTTTTTTAGTTCTTCAACGAACAAATTTGAAAAAGACTGCTATTCCTTCCAAGAAATTACCGAAAGTTATGCATGGCACAATAGCTACACCATCTGAATGTGCAGCTAGTTCCAGTCGAGAGGACCGTTTGGGCTCGAGAAATAGAGCAAAGAGTGCATCATCTGACACACCAATTACTGAAGAACTCGAGGAAGAACTCTTGCATAACTTGGAAAACACTGAAGTAGATCCATTGATATCTGAAGAAGAAATGGTGGCAGCAAATACTCTTTTATCACTAATTCATGAGGATACTTCAGCGTCGAATCAGAAAACTTTTCATGACTTTTCAGTGCAAGTGAATACTCCTAACAAACTGACATTGTGCCATTTTATTACTTCAGATGCCTCATTAATTACGCTAACTGGTTTAAATAGTCAACAAATGTTAGACAAGATTGTCGAATCAGTGTGTATAATTTATAAAGACCAACGAATTCATAAACTGTCAATTAGAGACCGAGTGATATTAACATTTGTTAAATTGAAGTGGAATTTAAGCTATTCAATATTAGCAATATTTTTTGGCTTAACTCCTAGTTTATGTAGAACTTACTTGCTGCGTATGATTAAGTTGTTGTCTTCTGTGTTGAGAGCAGTCATTGAGTTTCCTTCAATGGATGAAATTAGGCAAAACATGCCAATTTGTTTTGAAGACTTCAAAGATACACAGATTGTGCTTGACTGCACAGAAATATATACACAAATTCCAAAATGCTTGTGCTGTCGTATAAGATTTTATTCACATTATAAAAGTGCACAAACTGTGAAATTTATGACAGGTGTTTCTCCTGCAGGTTTAATTACTTTTATCAGTAAACCTTATGGAGGTCGAGCTTCAGATAAAATGATTTTTGAAAACAGCAATTTAATTGATAAACCAGAAGAAAACTCGAGCATAATGGTAGATAAAGGCTTTTTGATCGACAGCATTTGTTTGGAGCACAACATTAAATTGTATCGTCCACCATTTCTTCGATCAAAGAAACAGCTAGACGAGAATGAATCTCAGTATAATACCAAAGTAGCTGCAGCTCGAGTACACATAGAACGCACCAACCAGCGAATAAAAATTTTCAATATTTTAAGTGGAAAATTGCCCTGGGGTCTTGTACACTGTGTTGAAGACATATTCATAATTGCATGTGCAGTAACTAATTTATCTGCACCAATTTTAGCAGATGATAAATTTATAAAATAAATAGAAGTGAAAACATCTTTTTGTTTTATTTACCACATTGCGTTTAATTAGTAATTATTATGATAATTGTGTTATATTTATTCTCAACACCACTGCTAATTCCATAATAGGTACTGTGTGTCCACTTAAGTTCGCAGAATATGGGAAACTTTTTTATTATCAATTTTATGAGTTGGTAACTTCAAGATTTGATTTCTGACAATATTTTGAGAAAAAAAGTTCCCATAAACATGTGTCCGGAAATGCGTAATTTTTGAGATACAGGGTAGGGTGTCAAGGTTTTTTAAAAAAAAATAGTTTTGTTTTAAAATTTATAATGCAAAAACCCCTTTCTCGATTTTCGACAAACTTGGCAGGTTTGTTTGCAATAACAAAAGGTATCCTTTGACTCAATTAGATCAGGGCAACTAAAAAAGTAGAAAAAAACTGGCACCTCACCATTTTTTAATAACTTTGATATTTTTTTCAGATTAAGCAAGTCATATTACAGTCAAAAGATACCTTTGGTGATCACAAACAAACCTGCCAAATTTGAAGAAGAAAAAAATAATTGGAAATCGGATTTTCCAGTTAAAAAACTGTTTTTTTTTTTTTTTTTAACTTTGACACCCTGTATCTCAGAGATTACGCATTTCAGGACACGTTTAAGAAAACTTTTTTTCTTACAATATTGTAAGGAATCACATCCTGAAGTTACAAACCGTACTTAGGAAACACTGAGGGAAACACCCTGTATATTTTTCTATTTTCTGACCACCCTTTACATGCTATATTAGGTTTTAATAGTTTAATATTATTTTTCCAAGAACCAGACACTTTTATGAGCAATAACCTTTTTTGGTAAAATTGATAATAGAAAAGTTTCTCAGATACTGTGAATCTGAGGCTGCGAACTTAAGTTGACACACTGTATAATTTTGCTGCATTATAAAACTGTCATCGAATTTTTATAATTATTGAATACCTATAATGTAGTAATGTTATAATAAAAATAATGTAGTGTGTACATATTTTTTTTAAACTTTATTATTTTTTTTTACAAATTTCATGTAACATATTTTTGAAAAATTTTTCTTTTACTGTAAAAACTAAAGATTTTACAAAATCATAATCATATTTTGTTTCTATTATGGCCATGCTGTTGTCTAGTGAACAAAAGATCACAAAATAGCAAGTCTGCAGATTCAAAAGTGCCATACCTAATTGTACTTGGGCATAGTACATATGTTTTTGTTTGAGGCAGTAAACATTATTTTCATCAAGAAGTAGATACTTGAGGTTTTTCAGCACATCACCTACTGTTTCTGTTGAACCTATAAAGAATATCAAAAATCAATGAAGGAAATTTCCTCATATCAATCATTAATTACCTGAAAATGGACACTTTATTTCAAGTAGAGCTTTTGGATTGCCTTCATTATCAGTAATTATCCCATCTGGTGAATACCCCAACCAAGGATTAAAATCTGACACAACTAGTCCGCACTCCACAACATTGAAACCAGTACTTTTTTTGAAGACACTTCTAGCAACTGGTTCTTGTTTTAAACCGTGTTCAACAAACTTGTTTGTAAAGCTTTTCGGGTTAAAATAATTGGAAGCTTTTTTGCACCAATCTTGTCCTTTGTCTGACTATAAAATCGAGATGTTAGTTCAAGGTTGTCACCGCTTTAATTATGCAAATAAGGCAATCGGAATATAAAATCGATATGTTTATGTTAGTTCAAGGTTGTTACCGCTTTTGCATACATTGAGTGCCGACTCATAGATAG